GGGACTGTTTTCGATAACGGCTTCGCCCGTCCGCAGTCATAGAAAAATTCCCGGGACTATTTTCGGTAACGGCTTCGCCCGCTCGCAGTCATAGCAAATTCCAGCACACTGTTTTCGGTGACGGCTTCGCCCGCTCGCAGTCATAGCAAATTCCAGGGGACTGTTTTCGGTAACGGCGTCGCCCGCTCGCAGTCAGCAAATTCCAGGGACTGTTTTCGGCAACGGCTTCGCCCGTTCGCAGTCATAGCAAATTCCAGGGACTGTTTTCGGTAACGGCTTCGCCCGCTCGCAGTCATAGCCAATTCCAGAGACTGTTTCCGAAACGGCTGCGCCCGCTTGCAATCAAGCAAATTCCAGGGACAGTTGTCGGCAACGGCTTCGCCCGCTCGCAGTCATAGCCAATTCCAGGGGACTGTTTTCGGTAACGGCTTCGCTCACTCGCAGTCATAGCAAATTCCGGACTGTTTTCGGTAACGGCTTCGCTGTCATAGCCAATTCCGGACTGTTTTCGGTACCGGCTTCGCCCGCTCGCAGTCATAGCAAATTCCAGGGACTGTTTTCGGTAACGGCTTCGCCCACTCGCAGCCAAAGCAAATTCCAGGGACTGTTTTCGGTAACGGCTTCGCCCGCTCGCAGTCATAGCAACTTCCAGGGGACTGTTTTCGGTAACGGCTTCGCCCGCTCGCAGTCACAGCAAATTCCAGGGGACTGTTTTCGGTACCGGCTTCGCCCGCTCGCAGTCATAGCAAATTCCCGGGACTATTTTCGGTAACGGCTTCGCCCGCTCGCAGCCATAGCAAATCCAGGGAATGTTTTCGGTAACAGCTTCGCCCGCTCGACGACATAGCAAATTCCAGGGACTGTTTTCGGTAACGGCTTCGCCCGCTCGCAGTCATAGCAAATTCCAGGGACTGTTTTCGGCAACGGCTTCGCCCGTTCGCAGTCATAGCAAATTCCCGGGGTTCGCCCGTTCGCAGTCATAGCAAATTCCAGGGACTGTTTTCGGTAACGGGCTTCGCCCGCTCGCAATCATAGCCAATTCCAGAGACTGTTTCCGGGAACGGCTTCGCCCGCTTGCAATCAAGCAAATTCCAGGGACAGTTGTTGGCAATGGCTTCGCCCGCTCGCAGTCATAGCCAATTCCAGGGGACTGTTTTCGGTAACGGCTTCGCCCACTCGCAGTCATAGCCAATTCCGGACTGTTTTCGGTAACGGCTTCGCTGTCATAGCCAATTCCGGACTGTTTACGGTAATGGCTTCGCCCGCTCGACGTCATAGCAAATTCCAGGGACTGTTTTCGGCAACAGCTTCGCCCACTCGACGTCATAGCAAATTCCAGGGACTGTTTTCGGTAACGGCTTCGCCCGCTCGCAGTCATAGCAAATTCCAGGGGCTGTTTTCGGTAACGGCTTCGCCTGCTCGCAGTCATAGCAAATTCCAGGGATTGTTTTCGGTAACGGCTTCGCCCGCTCGCAGTCATATCAAATTCCAAAGCGGATATGACTGCAGGATTGTTGCAATCATTAACCCCCCTTACCCTCCTGCAATCTTTTTTAAGTTAGCGGTGATCTTCCTCTACTCCTCACCCTGAGCATCCCGAACCCAAACAGGGCCTAACCCACTGCTTGGTTTGAGGCACGAGGTCACGGCGTCGGTGAAACTTGCGACCCGTCCTGTCGAAGCACTTGCTCATCTTGTCTCAAGGCTACCACCCATAAGCAATGGCAGCGCAACAGGACTGCTGCAAAAAAAAAACTTTTTGAAGATTCTGAGCGTGAAGCCTTCACAATCTGAGAAATCCGCGCTGGGGTTCAAGAGGCTCTCACTGAAGAGGCTCTCGCTAAATGACCAGGCCCTGGCCCCAAAGTACTCCACGGGGACTCCGTGACCCCGACGTGCAACAGCAACATGCATATGCGGTAGTTGCCTGAATGTTAAATCAGGGAATTGTATGCGTGCCCGAGAAGTGCAATCTGCCTCGAAACGCCTGGAAGCAACTTGAAATGTTGTACAAGCTCCGTCGACACAGCACGTTAGATGAAATCAGGGAGATCCTGCGCAGGACTTGCTCCGCCAGTTGGTGCAGTCGGATCTTTGCAGGAACCTCCGTTTTGGCAATACGCTGGCACAGAACTGCTGGCCGTGAGTTAGCGCAAAAAGAAGCTGCCCCCCACCACTCAAAACGAACATCTTGCAATTTCAATCAGAAAAAAATGCGCAAGGCTGTCACTCTCCGTCCAGACAAGCCTGATCATTGGATAAAACTTCCCGAAGAGGCTTGTTGACCCGACGACGCGCCTCGGTTTGGGGCTGCAGTACAGCTAATCGCAGAGTGCTGAGAAGACCGAGGCTAAGCGAATCAAATCTGGACCTGAGCCCTCAACCCCGGACAGAGCTTGCATTGCCCCAAGGCCATGCAAGTTGCAAGACTGACTCTGCCATTAGCTAGGTACTTGCAATCAGGCAAGCTGAGTTTTCCTGCGGAGGCTACTGAAACCGAGTTTGTTCAAACAAGAGGTCCAAGCTAGTACTCTTTCGTGCTGCTTATCAAACCGAGCATGCACTTTCAAGCCCCTTTGCTGAGGTAAGAGTCTCCCTGATCATCTCAGCCACGTCCCGAAATCATCGAGAACCCTCCAGAAGCGAGACTCGCGCCGGCATGCTATTCGTACGTCTCTTGCGTCTGAACACGAGTTGCAGCAAGGCCTATGCTACTCAGAACCCTAGAGGCCCTGAATCCTGAAACCCAACGGGGCCAAATGCGCATCCAGCAACCGGCTCATCGCTTCGATTCCTTGCCACGGTCACTAAGGCAACGGTCCATGAAAAGAGCTTTTTCTAGCTTTGCTCTGCGGTTTCTCGAGCTTCGCTTCAGCTATACTTCAGCTAATGCTCCCGTACGAATGCAACACATGTTAGCCTTCAATTGTTCACGTTAAACTGAACTTCTTCAGGTAAAGGGTTACTCCATGTGCAAGGAATCATCCTCCGCCAACCCTTGCACCTGCAATAAAGTTGATTGAAGCCGCCTGGCCTCCTAAAGACAAGCGAGTATCCAAGGGAGATATGGTTTAGATGTGGTTTAGTTTGCAATGTTTATACCACGCTCAGCCCATCTATCTTTTTGGGTTCAGGTGCTTGGAACCCAGGCCTGGGTCCTAACAGCCAACAGTCTTTACGACAGGCCTCGATGGGATTCTGCAGGCAACTGTAAATACTGTCAAGTTGAGTGCCTCGGGTGAAGCCTCCAAAAGACAAGCACTCTCTGCGGCAGAGGTGCACCCCCACTAGGGGTCCCAGAACCTCGAACCTGGAAGCTGGTTCTGAGAACTCGGAAATCAATTGTTGGCTAGGGGTTGCACGAGTTGAGGACTAGGTTCAACTCACCCAGCCGTCCCCCCAGTTCAAGATGTCGGCTATAACAGGCAAAGCACCGTGCATGGGAGCGCGTAGAATGTCAAAGTTTCAAGGCGCGCCGTCACACATCATCAGATGTGCAAAGTCGTTGTTGCGAATTACTACAAGTACCAGCCAGAATGCAGCCAAATATCATTGCAATTAAACATTGATTTACAGTCAACACTTCTTCGTCTGGCCCCCACACATGACCATATAAAGGTCGTGATCTTTCTACCAACAGCTTCGCAGGCTTACTTCCTGTGATGTTTCACACCACGTGGCACTTGCACAGGCCTGGGGCCAGTTGAAGACCTTTCTTTTTCCCCCAAAACTTGGCGAGTCCAACCCACTCAAGCGAAGACCTGAGGGCCTGCAATCACAACAAAACAGCTGAACTATCTCAAAGCTGAGTACCCGTCACAAATCCATTATTTCAAGATCACATGCTGTACAGCTTCTGACTCTTGCGTGATAGACCGCCAAGCGACGCTGCTTCAGCTGCACTTTCCTGGCATGTCATTGAGGCTTGGCAGTCACAAGGGGCAGCACATCAAGCACTGTGCAGAGGAAACTGGTACCAGTACCCTACAGTACTACAGTAACCCTGCAAGCACGACGTTGCACGAAACCACTTCAAAGTCGAGTTCTTGTTCTCAAAGAACCCCATGAACAAACCAGAAGCAGGAAAGAAGACTCGAGGTCACACAGCAGACCAGTATAGCCAACAGCTGCACCTATTCAGTAGGCTCTACAGAGGTGCAACACAGCTTCGTGCAGATTGCGACCACAAAGCTGCTCAGATGTTTAGGCAGTAACCAGAACACTCGTTGTCACCACTAAGCTCGCCTTGGCCAGGAGTGGCTCCAAGCCAGTGCCTTCAAAGAAGTTCTTCCTCCTCCTGGAACTGAAAGCGCAATGTTTGGGGCTTGATAGCGAGACCCGCTCAGGCTGGAAAAAAATGTTATCGGTCACGGATGAAACCGATTTGTTGAAACTGCAGGCCTCCTTGCTTCAAGAGTTCATGGGTTTGGGTTTAAGCTTGGATGTGGGGCCTATAGGGTTCAATGTCTTCCTGAACTTTTCAGGGCTGGCTGCTCTGGTCACTCTCATTGTCACATTCTATAAATTGGTTTACTGGTGGAATCCGAGCTGGTGCTTTTGGGGTTTTGATTTCCATCAGGCTTGCAGGCGAAGCAACTGCCGCTTCAGCTGCTGCTTGGGCCTCTTGAAACGTTCCGAAGACCTTTCTGTGCCTCCAAACACGCTTCAAATCATGCTCGCGAGGATTCGCTGGGTTTGCTGCAATTCCTGCACACACTCGACGAGGCTTCAAGAAGCTCCACGTGCCAGGGAGAAGGACGTGCTTCCGCGTAGAGGAGTCAGCAAACACCGTGTAGTGGCACAAAACGGCTTTGTTCCTTGGGGTCCTTGATCTCACGCACAATGTTTTAAGGTCCATCACAGTCCTTCTGTCTGGGCTCCCTCTTTCAGATCTTTGACCATGTCTGCCAGATGTAAATTGGCTTCTTGCGCGCATCTTGCCCCACCCACCCCGTCTGGTGGGTCCAAACTGGTCGAGAAGCCTCTTGCCGCGCGCTCACCTAGCCGCGTATGTACACCTTCTGGTTCCGCTCCTCTGGGATAATCTCAGCTGGGCTACCTGCCAACATGCCCACATCCGACCCATATTGTCTTGAGGTCAAAAGCTGACAGTGTTTTGTAGGTCTTGAACCCTGGATGCCACAGCTAACAACCTAGTTAATGTCTGTGGTCCACATGCGATATCCTGGGTCTGTCTTCGGTTTTCACAGTCCGAGAGGTAACCTCTTCATTGTTTCGACGATGTGACGATGGGGTTATTCCCCACTATTTCAGGCACCCGCGTTCCTCTGCGGGTCGCTGGGCGTCTCCTGGCAGGGAACCATGCCGAAGAGAATGGCATTTGGAACTTAGTGTCTGATGTGTCTCGAGTTTCAAGAAATGCCATGATAGCTTGTTGCTTGTCGCATCTGGCAGTCCTGGGGCAAGCCTCTACGTGTAGCTTCTCATTGTGGTCTCTTGCGGCTTCTATTTAGAATTGGCTAGGGCATCCCACAGTTGAACATCGCAAAAACAACAAAGCACACAGAACAATACACGCGGAACAACAAACAAGAATCACTGACCTCTGCAAGCCCAGACCATGAGCATGGCCCCCACCTTCCAGGGCACCGCTAGCACGACGTGGTAGGCTCCGGAATACTCATCCTTGCCTTATGCAACCAGACTGAAGGTTGAACCAGGCACAGACCAACTAAGCCAATCCCACTTCAGCATCTGTGGGTAAATTTCAGCCGGACTGAATGAAAGCTACAGCTCAAGCTCTGCCAAATCCCGCTCACGAACCTTGTGTGCTAACAAGGTCCTCTCCATACGGGAACTCACGATCTCTCAGACGGTGGCAGTTGGGGGCAGAGAGGGGCATATCAACGTATCAGAGTAAGCCACAGGTACTGGAGAGTAACGGAGCAAACGTATTCTTTTGGCTTACTCGTAGGTGTAGAGGGACTCTGCAAAAAGACGGGGAGGCGAGCAAAGGAGAGTACTGATATCAGGCTTGGTGCATAAGACCTCTGCTCTGCTCTGTACCTCTGAGCGCAGCCTCCGTACTTTGTGCTTTGGCTCTACGTAAAACCCAGAACTCAACCGAGAGAGACGTCTGCCAACTCCAATAACTCCATTCGCTGAGCGTCGCATGTAGAAAGGTGTCTCCTCGGAGGGTTTGGACTTCGAACTGCTTTGGACAGGTATGTCATGCTTCGTGACATGGAGTAGTTGAATAGCTATGCATGCTGCGACTGACAAAGAGAGCCAGAGGCCAAAGTGGGCCGGCACAGGCAATGTACAAAACAAGCACAAACGAGCCTGTGTACCAAGAACGCGCGCAAACATGTCAGAATGCCACATCCCCCCGTGCCAGATGTGCCAGGCATCTGACTTCCGGAGCGCCCGCCGTCTGAGAAACCTCCGGAGTGCCCGATGCATCCACCTCAGTGGATTTGGGGTGAGCTTTCGGCTTTCGGTCATGAATTGCTGCTGAGCTGTTGTGAAGCTTTGATTGTTGGGTGGGGTGGGGGGGGAGATGGGGGGGAGCCTCCAGCCCAGATTCTGATGCTGACCAAAGCTGCAAGTAGAGGTTCTAAAACACCGCTTGCGCCAAAGGCAGCTCATCCGAAATACTACCGCAATAGTGTCAACCAGCTTGGCCAAGAGCTGCCGAGAAGAACCATCAGTAGCACCTTGGGCGAATGGAGTGGCGCTACCGCAAGTTTTGCAATGAAGAAAAATTATCCACGGCCTGGCATGCATATGGATGGCTAAGTAGGTTTGGCAGTTCAACTTGTGGACCCGCGCACGTGAAGCCCGAACCCTCTACAACAGAGCCTGTGTTCAAGAATCCAACCAGCCAGCGTCATGATATTTGTTTGACTTCCCATGTTGATGGAAAAAAGGAAATCAACCGCTGCCTCGATTTTGAATGCTGGTCGCGCCCAAAACTCAGCCCACCACGAGGTGCTGCAATCTGAGCTGAAGCCAGCTCTAGCGCCTGGCACTCTTCCGTCGCTCAGATCTCGTCTGCAGGACTCTGTATCCTATACTACAACCCAAACTCTCAGGCAAACCCAAACTAAAGCAAGCCCTCAGCCTTAAGTACCAGAAGCCCTAAACTCTAAACCCTAAAGGCTGCAGTCCGGAGGCCTGAAGGCGTTTCGATCCAAGTCGAGGCAACCACCAAGAACCCCTCCCAGGGCGCCGCGGTGCCCGCCCCCCCCCCCCCCCTCCCCCAAGCCATAGCCAGGCCCGAAGCCTTGTAGCTAAGCCCTGAGCCCTCAGCCCTACGCCCTAGTAAGCAAGCCTTGGGCCCTAAGCCCTATAGCTAGGCCCGAAGCCCAAAACCTAAGCCCTACCTAAGCCCTAAGCCCTAAACCCTAAGCCCGCCCTAAGCGCCGAAGAAGCCCGAAGCCCGAAGCCCGAAGCCCGAAGCCCGAAGCCCGAAGCCCGAAGCCCGAAGCTCGACCGAAGCCCGAAGCCCGACCGAAGCCCGAAGCCCGAAGCCCGAAGCCCGAAGCCCGAAGCCCGAAGCCCGAAGCCCGAAGCCCGAAGCCCGAAGCCCGAAGCAGCCGAAGCAGCCGAAGCAGCCCGAAGCAGCCCGAAGCAGCCCAAGCAGCCCGAAGCAGCCCAAGCAGCCCGAAGCAGCCCGAAGCAGCCCGAAGCAGCCCGAAGCAGCCCGAAGCAGCCCGAAGCAGCCCGAAGCAGCCCGAAGCAGCCCGAAGCAGCCCGAACCAGCCCGAACCAGCCCGAAGCAGCCCGAAGCAGCCCGAAGCAGCCCGAAGCAGCCCGAAGCAGCCCGAAGCAGCCCGAAGCAGCCCGAAGCAGCCCGAAGCAGCCCGAAGCAGCCCGAAGCAGCCCGAAGCAGCCCGAAGCAGCCCGAAGCAGCCCGAAGCAGCCCGAACCAGCCCGAACCAGCCCGAAGCAGCCCGAAGCAGCCCGAAGCAGCCCGAAGCAGCCCGAAGCAGCCCGAAGCCCGAAGCAGCCCGAAGCAGCCCGACGAAGCCCGAAGCAGCCCGAGCAGCCCGACGAAGCCCGAAGCAGCCCCGAAGCCCGAAGCAGCCCC